CGGTCATAGGGGCCGAAGATGTGGCAGTGGCGGCGGCAGGCATTGCCGCAGCAACTTGAGCAAAGGAGCGAGGGCTGGATGGCGTGCGAGGGGTGCGGGGAGAAGCATTGGAAGTGTTTCCGATGATGGGATGTTGCTCCCCGCCGCCGTTTGACGTCTTGGTCACTGGCTCGGCCGCGGGCACGACGGCACGTGCCGAAGACTCGGTCGCACCGGCAGCGGGGGACGTCGAGGGCACATGAGACGAGGCACGGGCGGTAGGGACAGAGTGGCGGGCGTGAGGGCGAAGCGGGGTGGTCATGGGGTCAGGGAAAACATGGTTACGGTCGTGGCGAGCGCTGCCATGTTTTGTGTGTTTTGCAGAACGACGAGTTTGGGAAGGCGAGGTGGTGGTGTTGCTTGGAGGTGACTCGGCACTCGGGCGTTTAGCACCGCGGACCTGGGTCCAAGAATCCTCGCCGCCGGACTCAGTGGCCATGTCCGCGGGGCAAGCAAGCGAGCAAGCGAGCGGACACGGTGGGAGCGAGGGCGCCGCCAAAACGCGGGCCGCAAAGAGCGGGGTTGCAGATTTTGTCTGACAACGTGGTTCACGCCAAGATGTCAGAAAAAAACTCTCTGGTTATACTTGGTAGTTTTGTACGATTTTTGTTTCTATGTGCGTGATTCTTCGCGCTTGTACCTCTTGGCATGATAGAAGCCAATGAATGTACCTTGTTCTCTTGTGTTGTTTTGCGTGCCGTCGTGATTTTGATGTCGGGGTTGCACAGCTTTGCTTCCAGCTCTGAGGTTCAAACACCTAATTTATTTATTGCAGATCAGGCCCAAGGACAACGTGGTTCACGCCAAGATTTCAGAAAGAAAAAGACAGTTGAAGTGGCGCAGCTGTTCGCGAAAGGCCAAGGAGTGGTAGGGCCCGTCATTGTCGCTCTGGATGATGGTGCGCTTCTGCATGTCGGCTTCATCAATGCGAATGGGGATGGGCGAGTCGCGAATCAGGCGAGCAAAGCTCTCAGCCAGATCGTCCTTGCGACAGACAGGGTCGAGCCAGAGAAAGCCCGTCGCCACATCTCGATAGGCAATGATGTACCTCGCTCCTTTGATACTAGGGGAGCGAAGCGGGCCAAACATGTCAGAAGCGACCAGTTCACCAGGCATGCGGGGCGTGCGGTCGCGATCGAAGCCAGCCAGAGCAAGGCGCTTAGCTTTGAAGAGGTTGCAATCGTTGCAGTTGAGG